AAATTCCATCTTGATGATGGAGGAACATCAGATGGGTTCACGGGGTTTAATATTGTTGGGAAATGGTCACTTCCACAGAGATCATCGTGGACTGACCATTCAAATTCACTCAATAAGGTTGGAATCAGTAATTGACAAATCAAGAGCTGAATATGTTCCTGTGCCAGGATGTAAATATGTCTTTGAACCGTCATTATAAATACATAGATCATTGTTTGAGATGAAATCCTCCAGTAACTTACCTTTGGTGTTTGTATTAGTACCACCCCAGAGTGGGTTGTGGCCATTTAAATCACCCATAATTATACAGGGTTTAGGTAATTGATCATAAAGAACTTGTAGATCCGTCAACTGGACAGCAGATGAAGGTGGAACATACAATGAACAGAGAGTAAATGCAACTTGTAACGTAAGTCGCACTGCCACGGCTTGGAGATTTGTTTTAAGTGTGACTGGGCTATGGATAACATTTTGGCTTACCAGGATTGATGATCCACCAGTAGCCCCTATCACCTGCAGGAGAAAAATAGTGATATGCCTTAAAATGACGTAGGTCAAAATTATCCGTCTGCTTAAGATAGGTTTCTTGAATGCAGAATGCTGACGGTTTAAAATCTTGGACTAATAATTGCAAATCGTTTAAATTAGTCCTTAGTCCTCTACAATTCCACTGAATTATAGGTGGAGACATTATTTCTTGGGTGGAGGATGTACAGGAGATCTATTCCCTTACCTTCCTTTGAGGGCGACAAGCTATGCGTCCTTCCATGGCTGTGGTCGGACACATCCATGTCCTCAAGGGTTCCAAACCTATTGAAGGTTTGGATCGGATTTTCCCCTTTGGAGGCTCTGCCACTTTGATTCTTTTGAATGTGTCATTATTTGCTTTGCTCTTAGCAACTGGTTTCACAATTGTTTCCGAGTTTGATGAATGTTTCCGAGATATGGATGGATCCATTTCGGAAGATGTCTTAGGATGGTTAACACTTGTAGATACAGTGATAGTTTGTGAACTGGAGCACACACTTGTGGAGGCCTTGCCTTGACTTCAACAGACAGCAGGGTAGGAGCAGAAGTCCGTGCCCACGTGTAATCTGTTTGGCAGCCAACAGTAGTACATGAAACATTTTCGGTTTTGAGGCTTGGATTGGAAGCAGAAACAGTGGTAGAATATGTAGGACCACATTGTTCTTGGGCAAGTACAATTTTTCTTTGCTTCAAAGAAGGAAATGTTACGTTGATGTTTTACTTGAGATATTTTTGACTGTAGTTTCCAAGTGGGACATTCTTTGGAAGAAGATGGATGGCTACCGGAACAGTTCACACAAGCAGGAGGTCTTTCACAAACAGTACTGTTATCACATGTTCCAGCACACCTATGGCAAGCAGATGCATTATGGCATGATTTCGATCCGTGGCCATATTTCTGGCAGGTGTAGCACCTTAAAGGGATTAGGGATAAATGTATCAACCCTTAAGTTGCAATAGCCAGCTTTCAGTGACTGTGGATGTGTGGGAAGACAAAATGAAAACAGAGATGTATTTGATTTTGTGGATTTCATCATTCCTTTAACGGTAAAACGTCGGACATCAGTGACTCCTTGTGAGCGCAATTCTCTGACGATGTCAGTCTCAGTCATGTCTGAAAGGCAACGACCGACATCACGGACGATGCCCTTACTGCAATTCAATGTCCTGTGAGGGGAAACCTCAACAGGAACATTTGCTAACAGTTTAGTTGAGAGGAGAACTTGAGACTGGATCTGCTTTTATATCCCTAACTAATTTTGTCCAATATATTATTACAGACTGTCGAGGAGGGCTGCCCAGGGAGATGAGGAGCCTGATGCGGTTATGAGAGATAATACCTCAGTGGTAAACGTCTGAACACACATGATATATTCTGTAGCTCAAAGGGGACACAAGCTAAGAACAGAATGAATGTTTCATAAATCTGGTCCGAGTTGGTATTATTATATTTGGTATTGAATAATGAAAGCGTAATGCTGTTTAACATGAATATTTTCCACATGTTTCCCATTAAAGAGAATGTAACATACATGAATTATGGCTGATCACGTTCTGTAACCTGAGCCTGGAGTAGTGAGATAAAAGCGTTATTTAACATCACTTTGAACAGGTATATGACGGTGGCGGTCCGTTGTGGGAGTCTGAGGTTGTGAGTGAGTGAGTTTACTTTTACGCCGCACTCAGCAATGTTCAAGCTATATGGCGGCGGTCTGGAAATAATCGAGCCTGAACCAGACAATCCAGTGATCAACAGCATGAGCATCGATCTGTACAATTGGGAACCGATGGCGTGTGTCAAGCAAGTCAGCGAGCCTGACCAACCGATCCCGTTAGTCGCCTCTTACGACAAGCATGGGTTACTGAAGAACGATATTCTGACCCGGACCTTTACGGAAATCTGAGGTTGTGACAAAACTGTGGGTATGGCTTGTATTCAGGACAAATGAGGGATTTGACCATACGTTCATCTGATTCTGTGCTGGAAGCTGTAGCGCCTTAGGCGTGTTCCATAAGGCAAATAACGAATATTTCTTTGTGAACATGAATTCGAAAGGTATTAGTTTTCAGCGTAGAGATAACGTTTAAACCATATGGGCAACGTATTTAATGAATGTTAATTAGGAACACAAATGTGATCAACCCGTCGAAATTCTGTGCCTGTAAATTAAGTAATATAGTATGACCAGAAATTATTGAGAATTTTAGGAATATGTTTAATTGGATTACTAGTATAAACAACCTTGACCAGCTATCAAGTGCTTGGTTTCATTCAATAGAGACAACTCCGTTAATCCTTTTTCATTACTTTGTGAAGAGTTACCCCCCTTTGTTTACTTGCTAGCAGACGACATTTTCAGTGATCCTCAGTTTGGATGATTTATAGAAGAGGAAGTTGATTTTTAGAGTATTATAAAAGGACATCAGATCAGCTAAAGTGATTTCAAGTAGAACAGCCATCCCTTTGTCCACTGTTTATCGTGTTTTGAAAGATATTGCAAATGGATATGGCATTGAGCACCAGGGAGGCGCAGGTAGGCTCAGAAAATTGACTGTCGGTGACAGGAGGCGGCTTGGTATTCTTGTTTCTAAAAACAAACGAAGGAGTTTAGAAACCTTAAGGCTAGATTTGATTGATAGAGGATCTGTGGCTGTCTGTAAGGAGACAATTAGAACTGAGCTGCATGCAATGGGTTGGCAGAAAAGTCGAGTAATTCCATCACCGATCATGAAACCTGAACAAAAGGAGCGAATGACGACCTGGTTCTTACAGCATAAAAATTTAACTGGGACAATGAGATTTTCTCAGATGAAAGTTCTGTGTGGCTGTTTCCTAATACACTGAAATTCTGGACCAAACAAACTAAAAAACCTTTGTATCATCGCCCAAAGTACAGGCCGAAATTTAACGTGTGGGGTGGCATATCTGTGTTAGGGACAACGCCCCTCTGTGTATTTGAAGGGAATATGAACATCGAGCGGTACACAGATATTCTCGAGGGACATTTACTTCCATCTGCTCAAGTGTTTTATGGAAATCTTTTGATTTTCCAGCAGGACAACGACCCAAAACATCGTTCAAAGCATTCACAGGCCTGGTTTCGGATCCAAAATATGACTTTATTAGATTGGCCAAGCTATAGCCTTGACCTAAATCCAATAGAAAATGTTTTGGGACTTATGAAGGATAGTGTCAATAAGAAAAATCTGACAAATATTGCTGAAATGAAAGAAGAGGTGGTCCGATAATGGGACAGCATGGACCACGACTTTCTAACTTCTTTGATCAGTAGTATGCCTCGCCGCATTGAAGCCTGCATTGCTGCCCATGGCGACTTGACAAACTACTAACTGTTCACCTGTCTTTAAATCTGGAGTTATGTTCTGCTAATATTCACATTTAATACGTGAGTAATGAGTGAAAAAAATATGTAAAAATTACAATCTTTAAATTCTCAATAATTTCTGGTTGTACTGTATACTTTATAGAAATAAAGTCACGTGTGATAGATTGTTTTATGTGTTTTGGCACAGGTGATGGATATTGATGAGAGTACGTCAGATGATGGAGATGAGCTCCCTTCAATGGATAGTGGGACACCAACCATTGTCTTTAATGAAAGGCATGGCCCTGTAATGGTATAGTAGTGAAAGCTTGGCGCTTTGTCGTTTTCTAATGTTTTCATTGAGACGTGAACACATTTCTACAGCGGAAAAATCGATTGGTAATGTTAAGTGTTCACTTTGTTATTTAACACCGCTGTCAACAAAAATAAGAGTATTTTTATCATGTTGAAAGTGGATTCAGATTTTCAAAATGCCCTTTTCAATAGTTATATATAATAATCTTAAAGGACCTAAACTTTGGCATTCATATTTCTCCTTTGAATGACCTATATTTTCTTTTCTCACAATTTATGCTGACAATGCTTGAATATCGATTCTGACATCCCGTATGTAGTGTCTGCTTTTGTCAACTATCTATACAGGTAAGGTGCTGGGTATTTGAAGTAGAGTTGTCATGTCAATTGTCATAGTAGCTTTATGCATGCGAGTGCAGTGTGTTCTGTACGTGTCTGTATCTGTAACTTTATTAATAGACAATAGTTATCCGAAACACATACATCCGTAATACCACATCTTTGTATTAACGTTGCACAGGTGTTTGGATATTAAATTATGTAACTTATCAATGATTAGAACGAAACTAAGTTAAATATCAGCAGCGTTTATTTTAATATCACAAAGTTATCTAAGTTTTACACTGAATGCATGTAATAGAATGATAAATGGACATTTTTATTACTATCAGATTATTTTCACTCAAAATTCAGGAAGGCTTGCGTGTGTATACGTCTGCGAATGAGAGTACTTGCAAAGAGTGAGTGAGAATAAATTTCGTGTTTTCATCTCAATATGCATTATTTTATATTTTAGCCTTACAAAGCAAAACTTATCAGACTGTTGGAGTGATGATGGCATATTCCCTTGTTCACGGGGACCACAACCGTCCTTTCTCAGCCACTCTTTTATGACGTCATCGTCGGAGGTATAGACTCTGCGGCTCCTACTATTGACCACATTTTCAATCCTGAGTACAAGGAACAAATAACTAAGGTAAAGTACTTTTCCGTTCTCGTTCATGTGCTTGCAAAATAAACATACAATATCAGTATTTGTATAACCATAAATATGTCTGGTTACAGAGAACAATATCCAGGACATTTGTTATTGAACGTGCCTGTTTCGCAAACACACCGACAGTCCTATAGGATTCTAAAATCTTTTCAGCTGTGCCAAGCAGAGGACACGTCAACAGTGCCAGAAGCTGGGGAGTTGATCCTCGTTGCAGGATGTGGCGCAATGATGTACAGGGCAGATCGGAAGGACGAGATGATTACAGCTCTCATTCCCTTCCTGGTTCTGGGTCGTGTGTCACATTGCATTGACCAGTGAGTGTAATATACTTCAAATACATTTATTTTGCTATAATAGTATTACATAATCTCACAAGAACTGCAAAGATGTAATAATGGTGCGTGTTCACTTTCTGTGGGGTAACAAGTTGATCATGTGTTATACTTGTAGAAACATTTGGATGTCTTCATTAAAAGCTTGCGCTCTCAATCAACTCATTGTAGATTCTGTCATGGACTCGAAGAAACCCTGGGTGTGCTCGAGGCAGTGAGGCAAAACAGGCACAGCATGGAAGGAGCTGTTTGTTCATGAGGAACACAGCATAGATTCCTCGACTTTTGAACTCATCTTTACACCAGTGTTTAGCGAGGAGGGTAGTAATACACACAGGCTTGCGAGAAATTGGTGCACTCCAACTGGAGAGACGTCCTGCTGGATATTGAAGGTATTTGCAAGTCTCTTTTAGGCAACATAGTGGTTAATGAATAAGTTTTTTTTATGGATATACCACTTCTTTATTCTGAACAGGTGACGTTTTGACATAGATTCTACTGTGTCGTTGCAAGGCAAGTGGTTCCATGAAGTATTTTGGGGTGATATATATATATATATATATATATATATATGTGTGTGTGTGTGTATATGACATGTTTGGGCAATAGATGAGGGTGAGGCGAACATGAGTTCTGTCGAAACGTTGCCTATACAGAATAAACAAGTTGTATATCCATAAAATAGTCCTCATTCTTCATCTACTCAACTTCTAGAATGATAATCAAAGAAAACATTGTGGTCAGTCTTGTTATTGCATGTATACTTGATATTATATGGGTCTTAGCATGATAAACAACTGCGATTTCTTTTACCTGTAAGGAACTATCATGCTTTCGCCTAAGAATCAATGTGTTGATATAACGTCATAACTGAAACCAGACATTGATACTTTTGAATTCGCGAGTTATAGGTTTGTACAACTTCACTATTTCCAGAGGGTGTGGAAGATACGTCTCTGAAGGATGTGCTGATATTTTCAACTGGTGCCGATAGAGTTCCGCCACTTGGTCTCCGACCGCAGCCAACACTAACGTTTCACCAGTGTGACCCACTTTCAGCAGAGGCAAAAGAGAACTTTCCGTTCGCCAACACATGTTCAAACACATTATCTTTGCCGTTAATTGCGTGTTATGATATGTTCAAAGGAACATGGCTGCAGCTGTAAAGTCCACCTATTTACTACAGAGTAAAGATGTAGTTGTACGGCTCCATAGCTATTACACGACCTGTAGGGGGAATTAAGACCCTTTGATCATGTAATACATTGTACAAGCTGCATAAATATACGTGTATTAAAATACACTCTAATCTTGAAATAGGATAATCATTTACCTAACACAGGAAAACAAGAATTTACCATTATTATGTTAGCATCACATTAACCTTCTTATGACACTTATGTTTGGACTACGTAAATACTCTTTCTATGTATTGCATGGATACATGCAGGCATGGCTTTGTTCAGAATATCACTTGGATAATGAGACAAATGTGTCCTTATGAGCTCATTTAGCAACTTCAGTTATTATTCTCTTTTAGTTTGTCAACACCTGTGATTCAGAACCTCTGGAATGATGTACACATACATTACTTTTAACAATTGAGAAATAGTAGAACTTGATATCATTTTATACAGTTCCGTCATATGAGTAAGACATTCAGAAACGTAATTGGTGTAGAGAGTATTTTTATACACGACAGGCTCATTACGTTTTTATTTAAACAATGTATATTTCGAATGTGCATACTACGAAGGTAACAGTTTTGAAGATGACAAATGGCCTACATTTATAATCTCTTTTGAATTTTAGTTTACAGTGAATAGTATTTTACACAAGACAGTGCTTGCGTGAGACATGATTTATAATTGAAAAGTTGATTACGGTTTTGTTTCAACCATTATTTTCAGTATGTTTGTGCATGTTATTCGTATGGAATAATTATTAGTTCGGGTCAAACCCTCTGTTTGTAATCCTAACAATAATTCGGCGCCTACATGAGAGTCATATAAAGGGGGCATTAATGAAAGTGACAAGATGCTTCAGATGAAGAGGTTTGAACTGTTTGAAAAATGTGACTCCATGTCTCCAAACATTCTTTAATAGAGTCATACAGTAGAGTCCCTCCAGTTTTGACACACGAGCCAAGCATATAGGTCCAGAGCTTCCTGGGTATCCTTTGGCTCTGTCTTCCCGTTGAGGATAAGGAGATTCTGACAGACGTCTTCGAACTCTTCTTCACATCCCGAAGGGCGAGGTATGGTGCACATTGACTGAATAGCGTGGATGTCTCGTGCGTCAACTTCAGTCTTGTAATCAACAGTGCCTGAAACATATACGAAGGGTTTAACGCAGTGTCACAACAGGTATAAACGACACACATTTCGCAAGTTTTGGGGTGGAACCCGGGTCAAAGCGTAACGTGCCAACGAGTTATCTTATAACATCTTTCTACCGTAGGATATGCAAAGTTATGTTTATGCATTAACTGCAACACAACATGGACAGTACTGTTGGTGACTCCAGTGAATCCTACCATATTCAGATGGAAGAAAAAAGAGAAGATCTGGCTTTCCACTGACATCTGCCCCCGTTCGCCTAACCCTGTGCTGGTTCCATTCTTTGCCGATCTGGTCAAGCTCAGTCTGTACCAGCCGAGTGAAACAGAACCTCAAACACTCCCTGTTCAAAAACAGATGTTGCACTTTTGACAGTTAATGTTTACTGATGAACTGAGTGTAAATGTAAAATCCTCTTGTACACTGCAAATTGGCTAAATGAGTCTGTATAACGGGTTTTATGGTCATATATTCATAAATGCAAATCGTGTTTTGAAATTCATTCCTATGGTAACAGTAACAGCTTCACATGCAGCTTTTATAATCAACAAAACCAACACACATGTTAGAGAACGATACGAAATCAGTGACACTCTATTATCAACCAACCAGAAAAAGAGTTGTGTGCTCGTTGGCGTTGCCTACCTTCTTAGGTTTATGGAAACAAATGCAAAAACACACTGCTTGGTTTGCCAATTGAATATGTATGAACCAATAGCAATTCTATTTGCATATTAACAAAACATTATGAAATTATATATTTCAATGTTGAATACAGCAAAATATAATGAAAGAAATAGTTGTGATTGCTACTTACATGTGAAGGTTGTTGTCAGTTGATACAATGCCCTGAGATTCCATGCCCTTGAACAAGTTGATCCAGTAATCCGCAACCATTTTGTCTCAAGGACAACCACCATTTTTCTATTCTCTGCAATAAACACTGCTTCTTTCAAAGTCAGATACACATGCATTTATTTAGTGCTGAATGCTCCCAGTCATATCGATGTGTATAACACATGGAAAATAGTCTTTACCTCTATAAGACATATTAAAACATTCCATGAAAATATCTTGTTTGAGTGGCATTGTTGGTGGGGTGAACAACAGGGAGTGTTCAATAGATATACAACTTCTTTATTATTAATATGAGCGACGTTTCGGTGTAGCTACTTACACCGTTATCAAGCAAGTGATGTACAATACTGCAAGCAAAGCTATATATATACATAGTCAAGTTTGAACAGTAAGTTGATTGATGTTTACAGAATTAATGAGGTTTATGTACAACGTTTACACAAAAAGGCAATTGTTACATGTACATTTTGTTACTATGTATATATAGCCTTTCTTGCAGTATTGTACATCTCATGCTTGATGACGGTGTTAGTAGCTACGCCGAAACGTAGCTCAATAGTACAGAAGGTGTATATCTATAGAACTATAGAACTCCCTCAGTTGTTCTATGAAAATAGGAGGTGTTTTCATCTTTAGATGTCACTGAAACAACGTGAACAGAAACTACCATGTGTGATGAAAAGAAAACCCTTTCCACACCCATACGAAATCACTACTACTAAAAAGCAGAGTGGATAATTCCGACTATGTCATGAGCTGTCATATAGTGATGATACTGGGTGTATTGTGAGCTAATGCTTCATACTTAGGAATAGGTATCAGGGTTTATATGTTTCTGCTTCAGTAAAAACCTGATTTCTGTGAGAACTGCCATACAAGACACTGTTTTCTCCTGCCATATCATCCGTGTGTGACCACCTCATTGCTTTTTGTAGATCTTCAATAAATACGTTCTCAGTCCCCCTGTCCATCCTTATGGAGCGGGGAACCCCTGAAAGGAAAACAAATACTGTTTTGCAATGTACGGCACCACAATGCATCATATTTAACATAGTTACCGTTGTCGAACATTTCCTACGTTATAACATATGTTATATTTTGGATTACACTTTCTCAGTAAAGTACAGATTCTAGTACTTTTGATGGAGTGAGTCCCATTCGGGATTCGAACCCACACCCTCAGAGTCACGCAACTTATAGCTAGCACACAAAGTCAGCCACCTAACCCGGTCAGCCACCGCTGAGTTACATTTGACCACTTTGTAAATAGCACTGTGTATTCATTTCCAACGCTGACTTGATGCAAAGTACTTTTGTGAATTGGAATTAGAGCGGCGTTAAAATCCAACATAATTGGGATCCTAAGTTGTTTGAGGTTCTGAATTTATCAGAAATAGTCTGAAACATTGGACACAGAAGTCATGCATTAGGCCAAAGCGATGATACTATACTCCTCCCGAGTCTCCATTACCTCCAATACTTTCCACGTAGTGCAGGAAATAGTGACCTACAACATATGGATCTTTGTTACTTCTGCCAACTTTGAGCCATAGTATTCGTCTTGAAAAGCTGAAAATGATATTAAAGTATATATATGTCTTCATTCAAATTTCCTTTACTATGTTAGAATGACAACATGGTGTCTGGTACTAATAATTATTATATAATATTTAGTATGAACTTAGCCGCAAATAGCGCCGTGAATAGCAAAACCAAATGGTGTAATCTTGTCGTAGCCATCTATGTGTACAAGATACTTGGGTCCCTTGTTACTGTACAGTCGTCTTGAAAAACGTTGGGTCGACAATCGTCAGTATCTCCATGACCATATGCCTAGTATGAATAGGAGTCGTATATTTCCGATAGAATTATGAGAAACTGATGTGAATAACTTCGACGAGACGAGCGAGCGATTTATCCACTAGGCTACCCCCACCGAACCTCACAATAAACAATATTCCACTGACGATGTATTCTTTGACATTTTATGCCTGAACAATACCATTGTCGCTTGTTGTACATTTCATTTTATAATTTGTAAAGACACGGATAGCGCACAGGATACTTTACCTTGGTACTCTGAGACCATGAACATTTCTTAGGCGTTCAGTCATGCTTCTGTAACCAAGACAGGTACCACTACCTTGCAGCTCATTCTGAGAAAGAACAGAATAACTAAGAATAACGCGTGCATGCGTGCATGCGTGTATGTGTACATATATCAAAGACAAATAAAGTTTGATAGCATATTAAGGATGAAAAGGTCTTACCTGAATAGCCCTTATAACTCTTTCATGATCTATACAGCCCAAACGACGCCTCAGACCAAGTGTGCTGAGCGTTCGCTTCAGAGTTCGTATGCTGAAAGATTTACAGTTGCCTTTTTACTCATTTAACATGCTCCGCGTAAGCAACAGTATGGGTTTATTACCATTCATTAAAGATGTGCTTTCTTTATACTATAGTTACACGACACATGCTGTTAGTATAACGAAGAAGGAACACATGCGTATAACAGTTACGCGTAAGCAACAGTATGGGTTTATTACCATTCATTAAAGATGTGCTTTCTTTATACTATAGTTACACGACACATGCTGTTAGTATAACGAAGAAGGAACACATGCGTATAACAGTTACTAGCTGGTGATAACTACTAATTTACTTACGACATCATCTCTAGAAGTAATACTAAAATCTTACCGTCACTGCTGTTACTATTTTGGTTCATATTATATGGTGGCTGAATGTTTACTAATATGATCTTACATTACAAATGGCGAGTCGGTTTCCGTTTGTGCATGCGCAGATCTAACAAGTGAACATATGACGATATCGCTGTATCGCAATATCGTTGTATGGCCATATCGCCATATCGTATTACTGTATCGCAATATCGCCATATCGACTTACATCATATCGCCATTTCGTGTCGTGTTATCGTCATATCGTGTCGTGTTATCGCCATATCATGTCGTGTTATCGCCATGTCGTGTCGTATTATCGTCATATCGTGTCGTGTTATCGCCATATCGTTTTCTGTCTGTATCGCAATATCGCTGTATCGTGTCGCCGTATCGCAATGTCGTGTCGTACTATCGCTTTGTCGCGATGTCGCCTACATTTTTCAGGGCGATAAAACGATGGCCCGAATGAGCCACCATAGGTTAGTCTATATTGCACAAATATGGTCTTAAAATCGATATGATCGTTTACTTCACTTCCCATTTATCGCATACGTTTGGAAAATTGGATTTGGATATGAAGCTATCGTAAACTGATCTAGATCCTTTAGTAGGTTTAATAAGATCATTCCAAGGGGAACTTATCGATACCTTTGTTATGTTTGGGTTTCCAGCAGTTTGAATGACTTCTTTCCATTTTGGGGGATACTGACGATGACACGATTTATGTCAGGTACTGTGCCCCTTAATATCAAATTTTGTTTTAAGTTCTGCAAATGAGAGTACCTCTTAGTCATTGAAAATGTCTTTAATATTAACAATTCCTCTTAAAACCAGTTATTGATTATCAAATATGTGTTGCGTAACTGGTGATTTAACCAAAGAGGTTGCATAACAATGTCGTTTATGTTGATATGATTCACTACATATCCCTTTACATATCTATGCCAGGCATCAAGTGCATCTTTATCTCACATACTTCCCACTATCTTATTATTGAATCCTAAGAATGAATCAGCGTACCCGCTTTTCTACATATCGCCATATCGCAATGTCGCTGTATCGCCATATCGCGTCGCCATATCGCAATATCGCCTTTCACGTTATCACCATATCGCAATGTCGCGTCTTTTATCGCCATTTTGTGTCGTGTTATCGCCATTTCGTGTCGTGTTATCGCCATTTCGTGTCGTGTTATCGCCATTTCGTGTCGTGTTATCGCAATGTCGTGTTGCGTTGTTGCCATTGCGTGTTGCGTTATCGCTGTATCGTGTCTTGTTATCGTCATGTCGTGTCGCGATATCACTATTTCGTTTTTGTCTGTATCGCCATATCGCAATATCGTGTCGTGCTATCGCTTTGTCGCGATATCGCCTAGATTTCTTCAGGGCGATAAAGCGATGGCCCGAATGAGCCACCATACTAACCGCTAGGCATCTTACAAACTACAATAACAGCAAATGACAATCTGGGATTATATTCTTAGTCAAGTAAAAATCCTTGTACTTTTGCTAGTATGCTGACAAAAACGGATGATTTACATCTTTGTTTACATCTTGGCTCTTTGGTGTTTTTCTTGGACATTTTCCAGGTCGATCTGGCGGGCGTGGAGTGTTCCACGTGAGCATTGCCAGTCGCTATGTTATTTATACCTTGGGTCACCGTCTGTTGTGCCCCTTAAACGCACAATAGTCTTAAGTGCACAGAAATCATGAATATTCATGAGTGGGCGGAGCTTATGGCACTACGTCACATACACGGCACAGTATCTTCCGCGGAACTAGTAGAGGGAGTTGACCTATGCTGCTTCGTCTGTTATTGCCTTATACAATGTGACAGCTACAATATGCATATGAGGTATATGTAAACATGAAGTATACGTGCTGTTTATTCAATATAATGTGCTGTATTGAAGTTTTGCGACGCAACTTCCCACGGTGAAGGAGTTCAAGCGAGAAAGCCTCCTCGAGAACAACCAGGGTACCTAGCGTTGCGATGGAAACATTGACATGTCAATATTGTCATTGCTCAGTCCTGACTTATCATAGCTCTCCAACCAAACACAATAACATCTCTTGTCAACCAACTAAATACTTATACAAAACATATGTACGTACATATTGCCAGATCTAATTAAACTCCACGTATTTCAATAGCGTACGTCAGCTCTAATAGGGCGTCTTATGAAGGAAGGAAAGGTTACCCAGGCAGGCCAAAGTACCCAAAGCTACCTTTCCATGGCTATCAGGGCACTACAAAATTGAAACAAATATTTGAGATTTATATCCCAGGGTAACCTAGCATGGCAACAAATATTTCTGGAATTTGGGTAGTGTATCTGAAGTACCTGAGGAATTCCTCCAAATGGTAAAATTACTAGTTTCTGGTGTGAAGGTGCAGATAAATATATTTAGGATAAAAACAAACAAACACCATGTCAACACCTCGGCCAGTTTAACACCTGGCAAAGATACCATACTGCCAGGATGTTTTGGTACTTTGGCAAATCTTACTGAGTTTACTTATTGGCAGTTAAAATCACTTTCAATTATTTCCAACTTAACTTCCACTAAAGTAATTAATATAAAATCATTTTCATGGCATTTTCAACACCCCTTTCAACCTGATCCCTTTGACCATGTACAACCCCTCTAGACTGAAAAATTTCATTCAATCTCTCTCCCATTTCAGCCTAGCTGGGCCAATTCCTCGGCACGTCAAGGCGGACAGTCAGTGTGTGCACCACAGAGGTTCTGCCAGCTGCCCAGGAGAGCTTCATTCAGCCCCAAGCACCCCAGGGGACTGGTAGGAAATGATATGCATGTTGTTTTTGCTGTGCCTTTTTAAAAGGTCCATTGTGCATTTAAGGTTTTCTGTGCACTTAAGGTTTCCTATAGCAGTCCTTAAGTGCACAGAAAACCTTAAATGCACGATGATGTCTTGGCCCCTCCCTGGACCCTCTTGGCTGTTTTGGCTGGTGCAGAGGCCCCACCTGATCCCTTTGACCATGTACAATCCCCTCTAGACTGAAAATTTCATTCAATCTCTCTCCCATTTCAGCCTAGCTGGGCCACTTCCTCGGAGGTCCTGCCAGCTGCCCAGGAGAGCTTCATTCAGCCCCAAGCACGCCAGGGGACTGGTAGGAAATGAAATGCATGTTGTTTTTGCTGTGCCTTTTTTAAAAAGGTCCATTGTGCATTTAAAGGTTTTCTGTGCACTTAAGGTTTCCTATAGCAGTCCTTAAGTGCACAGAAAACCTTAAATGCACAATGATGTCTTAACCCCTCCTGGACCCTCTTGGCTGTTTTGGCTGGTGCAGAGGCCCCACCTGATCCCTTTGACCATGTACAACCCCCTCTAGACTGAAAATTTCATTCAATCTCTCCCATTTCAGCCTAGCTGGGCCACTTCCTCGGCACGTCAAGGCGGACAGTCAGTGTGCACCACAGAGGTTCTGCCAGCTGCCCAGGAGAGCTTCATCCAGCCCCAAGCACCCCAGGGGACTGGTAGGAAATGAAATGCATGTTGTTTTTGCTGTGCCTTTTTGAAAAAAGGTCCATTGTGCATTTAAGGTTTTCTGTGCACTTAAGGTTTCCTATAGCAGTCCTTAAGTGCACAGAAAACCTTTCATCACAATAATGTCTTAACCCCTCCCTGGACCCTCTTGGCTGTTTTGGCTGGTGCAGAGGCCCCACCTGATCCCTTTGACCATGTACAACCCCCTCTAGACTGAAAATTTCATTCAATCTCTCTCCCATTTCAGCCTAGCTGGGCGGCTTCCTCGGCACGACAAGGCGGACAGTCAGTGTGCACCACAGAGGTTCTGCCAGCTGCCCAGGAGAGCTTCATTCAGCCCCAAGCACCCCAGGGGACTGGTAGGAAAATGAAATGCATGTTTGTTTTGCTGTGCCTTTTTAAAGGTCCATTTGTGCATTAAGGTTTTCTGTGCACTTAAGGTTTCCTATAGCAGTCCTTAAGTGCACAGAAACCTCAAATACAATGATCTTAACCCCTCCCTGGACCCTCTTGGCTGTTTTGGCTGGTGCAGAGGCCCCACCTGATCCCTTTGACCATGTACAACCCCTCTAGACTGAAATTTCATTCAATCTCTCTCCCATTTCAGCCCTAGCTGGGCCACTTCCTCGGGCGTCAAATCCAAGGGACAGTCAGTGTGCACCACAGAGGTTCTGCCAGCTGCCCAGGAGAGCTTCATTCAGCCCAAGCACCCCAGGGGACTGGTAGGAAATGAAATGCATGTTGTTTTTGCTGTGCCTTTTTAAAAGGTCCATTGTGCATTTAAGGTTTTCTGTGCACTTAAGGTTTCCTATAGCAGTCCTTAAGTGCACAGAAACCTTAAATGCACAATAATCTTGGCCCCTCCCTGGACCCTCTTGGCTGTTTTTGGCTGGTGCAGAGGCCCCACCTGATCCCTTTGACCATGTACACAGCCCCCTCTAGACTGAAAATTTCATTCAATCTCTCTCCCATTTCAGCTAGCTGGGCCACTTCCTCGGGCGTCAAGGCCCGGACAGTCAGTGTGCACCACAGAGGTTCTGCCAGCTGCCCAGGAGAGCTTCATTCAGCCCCAAGCACCCCAGGGGACTGGTAGGAAATGAAATGCATGTTGTTCTTGCTGTGCCTTTTTAAAAGGTCCATTGTGCATTTAAGGTTTTCTGTGCACTTAAGGTTTCCTATAGCAGTCCTTAAGTGCACAGAAGGCCTTAAATGCATACAATGATGTCTTAGCCCCTCCCTGGACCCACTTGGCTGTTTTGGCTGGTGCAGAGGCCCCACCTGATCCCTTTGACCATGTACAAGCCCCTCTAGACTGAAAATTTCATTCCAATCTCTCTCCCATTTCAGCCTAGCTGGGCCACTTCCTCGGCAGCGTCAAGGACGGACAGTCAGTGTGCACCACAGAGGTTCTGCCAGCTGCCCAGGAGATCTTCATTCAGCCCCAAGCACCCAGGGGACTGGTAGGAAATGAAATGCATGTTGTTTTTGCTGTGCCTTTTTAAAAGGTCCATTGTGCATTTAAGGTTTTCTGTGCACTTAAGGTTTCCTATAGCAGTCCTTAAGTGCACAGAAAACCTTAAATGCACAATGATGTCTTAACCCCTCCTGGACCCTCTTGGCTGTTTTGGCTGGTGCAGAGGCCCCACCTGATCCCTTTGACCATGTACAGCCCCCTCTAGACTGAAAATTTCATTCAATCTCTCTCCCATTTCAGCCTAGCTGGGCCGCTTCCTCGGCACGTCAAGGCGGACAGTCAGTGTGCACCACAGAGGTTCTGCCAGCTGCCCAGGAGGCTTCATTCAGCCCCAAGCACCCCAGGGGACTGGTAGGAAATGAAATGCATGTTGTTTTGCTGTGCCTTTTTTAAAAGGTCCATTGTGCATTTAAGGTTTTCTGTGCACTTAAGGTTTCCTATAGCAGTCCTTAAGTGCACAGAAAACCTTAAATACACAATAATCTTAACCCCTTCCTGGACCCTCTTGGCTGTTTTGGCTGGTGCAGAGGCCCCACCTGATCCCTTTGACCATGTACAGCCCCCTCTAGACTGAAAATTTCATTCAATCTCTCTCCCATTTCAGCCCAGCTGGGCCCTTCCTCGGCACGTCAAGGCGGACAGTCAGTGTGTACCACAGAGGTTCTGCCAGCTGCCCAGGAGAGCTTCATTCAGCCCCAAGCACCCCAGGGGACTGGTAGGAAATGAAATGCATGTTGTTTTTGCTGTGCCTTTTTAAAAGGTCCATTGTGCATTTAAGGTTTTCTGTGCACTTAAGGTTTCCTATAGCAGTCCTTAAGTGCACAGAAAACCTTTAAATACAATGTCTTAACCCTCCTGGACCCTCTTGGCTGTTTTGGCTGGTGCAGAGGCCCCACCTGATCCCTTTGACCATGTACAACCCCCCTCTAGACTGAAAATTTCATTCAATCTCTCTCCCCATTTCAGCCCAGCTGGGCGGGCTTCCTTCCTCGGCACGTCAAGGCCGGACAGTCAGTGTGCACCACAGAGGTTCTGCCAGCTGCCCAGGAGAGCTTCATTCAGCCCCAAAGCACCCCAGGGGACTGGTAGGAAATGAAATGCATGTTGTTTTTGCTGTGCCTTTTTAAAAAGGTCCATTGTGCATTTAAGGTTTTCTGTGCGCCTTAAGGTTTCCTATAGCAGTCCTTAAGTGCACAGAAAACTATATGCATACAATGTCTTAGCCCCTCCCTGGACCCTCTTGGCTGTTTTGGCTGGTGCAGAGGCCCCACCTGATCCCTTTGACCATGTACAACCCCCTCTAGACTGAAGAATTTCATTCAATCTCTCTCCCATTTCAGCCCTAGCTGGGCCGCTTCCTCGGCACGTCAAGGCGGACAGTCAGTGTGCACCACAGAGGTTCTGCCAGCTGCCCAGGAGAGCTTCATTCAGCCCCCAAGCACCCAGGGGACTGGTAGGAAATGAAATGCATGTTGTTTTGCTGTGCCTTTTTAAAAAGGTCCATTTGTGCATTAAAGGTTTTCTGTGCACTTAAGGTTTCCTATAGCAGTCCTTAAGTGCACAGAAAACTATTAAATGCACAATAATGTCTTGGCCCCTTCCTGGACCCTCTTGGCTGTTTTTGGCTGGTGCAGAGGCCCCACCTGATCCCTTTGACCATGTACAGCCCCTCTAGACTGAAAAATTTCATTCAATCTCTCTCCCATTTCAGCCCAGCTGGGCGCTTCCTCGGCTTGCGTCAAGGCGGACAGAGTCAGTGTGTACCACAGAGGTTCTGCCAGCTGCCCAGGAGAGCTTCATTCAGCCCCAAAGCACCCAGGGGACTGGTAGGAAATGAAATGCATGTTGTTTTTGCTGTGCCTTTTAAAAGGTCCATTGCGCATTTAAAGGTTTTCTGTGCACTTAAGGGTTTCCTATAGCAGTCCTTAAGTGCACAGAGAAAACCTTAAATGCACAATGATGTCTTAGCCCCTCCCTGGACCCTCTTGGCTGTTTTTGGCTGGTGCAGAGGCCCCACCTGATCCCTTTGACCATGTACAACCCCTCTAGACTGAAAATTTCATTCAATCTCTCTCCCATTTCAGCCCAGCTGGGCCACTTCCTCGGCTTGCGTCAAAGGCGGACAGTCAGTGTGCACCACAGAGGTTCTGCCAGCTGCCCAGGAGAGCTTCATCCAGCCCCAAGCACCCCAGGGGACTGGTAGGAAATGAAATGCATGTTGTTTTTGCTGTGCCTCTTTTAAAAAGGTCCATTGTGCATTTAAGGTTTTCTGTGCACTTAAGGTTTCCTATAGCAGTCCTTAAGTGCACAGAAAACCTAAATCCCCAACTGATGTCTTAGCCCCCTCCTGGACCCTCTTGGCTGTTTTTGGCTGGTGCAGAGGCCCCACCTGATCCTTTGACCATGTACAACCCCTCTAGACTGAAAATTTCATTCAATCTCCTCTCCCATTTCAGCCTAGCTGGGCCACTTCCTCGGCACGTCAAGGCGGACAGTCAGTGTGCACCACAGAGAGTTCTGCCAGCTGCCCAGGAGAGCTTCATTCAGCCCCAAGCACCCCAGGGGACTGGTAGGAAATGGAAATGCATGTTGTTTTGCTGTGCCTTTTTAAAAGGTCCATTGGGCATTTAAGGTTTTTGTGCGCCAAAGGTCACATGCAACCAAAAATCAAACATAATTAAAACACAATTATCACTTCTTCATGACATATAATATGCATTGCTGATTATGAAAAACAAATAAAACAAATTTATAAGCGTATAATCATAAATCAAAAGTGCAATATTTTTGTACTTGGGTTTACCTCCCTCGAAAGAGCGAAGCAGCCGGGATACCAGACCCAGTCAGAGCGGGTGGGTGTGTGCACTCAAGTGTAACAGCTGGTTCATTACGCAGATCACCACCTTCACGGATCATTTTGTGTGTGTATATATAGAAAGTTGGGCTTTGTAATTTTTGTGTATAACATTTTGAAATCAACAGACATCATAACATGTCATGTGTTCAAATATCACACCTGCCTGTCTGTGTAATTTACATAATGTGACAGAGACCGAACTCGGGCCATAAATCAATGCGTTTTGTTTATGGTGGAAAGCTTGATTGGTGTTAAGTTCAAATTGCATGTGGTCAGTGATCGCAGTTGTGTATTGAATATTGTCATTAGCAGACAGGCAGGCAGATGCACACAGGTGTCAATAAAACAAGACATTGAGTTTTGTCTGTGACAGCGACATATCTATATCACAGTTAGAAATTCTGTCAACGCTAAATAATGACATTGCTTTTAGAAGTATCGAACTGAGAAAGTGAATCGGTAAGAAGAATGTGTGGTGAAATAGACAAATGAAATTATATAAACAGTTTATTTACTGTCATAACATACAAAAGCTCGGGCCTGTGAGATATCAACAAAACATTAGAAAAATAGCTCACACCAAATCCTTCACCGAGTATTCACCAGACATCCCGCTTCCAAGTTGCGCGAACCTATTTCACTGCGCACATGCTATGAGCGCAGCCAGCTGTTGAAACCCGTATTCCCCAGAAAAGTCTGGGAAAATTAGTGAAACGTTTGAACTCCGATTTCGCGCGTTTTTTTTTTTTTCATCGCGTTATTTTTCAACTTTATAAGTTGATTTTGCATTTTGACGCTTTGTTTCGGTAAGTCCATATCGAAAGGTATCAGAATCTGCAAAGTTTGTGTTTTACGTTGCATGTGACCTTTAAAGGTTTCCTATAGCAGTCCTTAAGTGCACAGAAAACCTTAAATGCACAATGATGTCGCCCCCTCCCTGGACCCTCTTGGCTGTTTTTGGCTGGTGCAGAGGCCCCACCTGATCCCTTTGACCATGTACAACCCCAATAGACTGAAAATTTCATTCAATCTCTCTCCCATTTCAGCCAAGCTGGGCCACTTCCTCGGCACGTCAAGGCGGACAGTCAGTGTGCACCACAGAGGTTCTGCCAGCTGCCCAGGAGAGCTTCATTCAGCCCCAAGCACCCCAGGGGACTGGTAGGAAATGAAATGAAATGCATGTTGTTTTGCTGTGCCTCTTTTAAAAGGTCCATTGTGCATTTAAAGGTTTTCTGTGCACTTAAGGTTTCCTATAGCAGTCCTTAAGTGCACAGAAAACTCTAAATGCACAATGATGTCTTGGCCCCCTCCCTGGACCCTCTTGGCTGTTTTGGCTGGTGCAGAGGCCCCACCTGATCCCTTTGACCATGTACAACCCCCTCTAGACTGAAAATTTCATTCAATCTCTCTCCCATTTCAGCCTAGCTGGGCCACTTCCTCGGCACGTCAAGGCGGACAGTCAGTGTGCACCACAGAGGTTCTGCCAGCTGCCCAGGAGAGCTTCATTCAGCCCCAAGCACCCCAGGGGACTGGTAGGAAATGAAATGCATGTTGTTTTGCTGTGCCTTTTTAAAAGGTCCATTTGTGCATTTAAGGTTTTCTGTGCACTTAAAGGTCACATGCAATCAAAAATCAAACATAATTAAAAACACAATTATCACTTCTTCATGACATATAATATGCATTGCTGATTATGAAAAAACAAATAAACAAATTTATAAGCGTATAATCGCAAATCAAAAGTGCAATATTTTGTACTTGGGTTTACCTCCCTCGAAACGAAGCAGCCGGGATACCGAACCCAGTCAGAGCGGGTGGGTGTGCACTCAAGTGTAACGGCTGGTTCATTAGCAGATGCCACCTTCACGGATCATTTTGTGTGTATATATAGAAAGTTGGGCTTTGTTGTAATTTTTTGTGTATAACATTTTGAAATCAACAGACATCATAACATGTCATGTGTTCAAATATCACACCTGCCTGTCTGTGTAATTACATAATGTGACAGAGACCGAACTCGGGCCATAAATCAATGCGTTTTGTTTATGGTGGAAAGCCTGATTGGTGTTAAGTTCAAATTGCATGTGGTCAGTGATCGCAGTTGTGTATTGAATATTGTCATTAGCAGACAGGCAGGCAGACACACAGGTGTCAATAAAACAAGACATTGAGTTTTGTCTGTGACAGCGACATATCTATATCACAGTTAGAAATTCTGTCAACGCTAAATAATGACATTGCTTTTAAGTATCGAACTGAGAAAGTGACTCGGTAAGAAGAACGTGTGGTGAAATAGACAAATGAAATTATATAAACAGTTTATTTACTGTCATAACATACAAAAAGCTCGGGCCTGTGAGATATCAACAAAACATTAGAAAAATAGCTCACACCAAAGCCTTCACCGAGTATTCACCAGACAGCCCGCTTCCAAGTTGCGCGAACCTATTTCACTGCGCACATGCTATGAGCGCAGCCCAGCTGTTGAAACCCGTATTCCCCAGAAAAGTCTGGGGAAAATTAGTGAAACGTTTGAACTCCGATTTCGCGCGTTTTTTTTCATCGCGTTATTTTTCAACTTTATAAGTTGAATTTGCATTTTTGACGCTTTGTTTCGGTAAGTCCATACCGAAAGGTATCAGAATCTGCAAAGTTGTGTTTTACGTTGCATGTGACCTTTAAGGTTTCCTATAGCAGTCCTTAAGTGCACGAAAAGCCTTAAATGCAGAATGATGTCTTGGCCCCTCCCTGGACCCTCTTGGCTGTTTTGAGGCTGGTGCAGAGGCCCCACCTGATCCCTTTGACCATGTACAACCCCCAATAGACTGAAAGAAATTTCATTCAATCTCTCTCCCATTTCAGCCCAGCTGGGCACTTCCCTCGGCACGTCAAGGCGGACAGTCAGTGTGCACCACAGAGGTTCTGCCAGCTGCCCAGGGAGAGCTTCATTCAGCCCCAAGCACCCCAGGGGACTGGTAGGAAATGAAATGCATGTTGTTTTTGCTGTGCCTCTTTTAAAAGGTCCATTTATTGCATTTAAAAGGTTTTCTGTGCATAAGGTTTCCTATAGCAGTCCTTAAGTGCACAGAAAACTATAAATGCACAATGTCTTAGGCCCCTCCCTGGACCCTCTTGGCTGTTTTGGCTGGTGCAGAGGCCCCACCTGATCCCTTTGACCATGGCAGCCCCTCTAGACTGAAAATTTCATTCCAATCTCTCTCCCATTTCAGCCTAGCTGGGCCACTTCCTCGGCACGTCAAGGCGGACAGTCAGTGTGCACCACAGAGGTTCTGCCAGCTGCCCAGGGAGAGCTTCATTCAGCCCAAGCACCCCAGGGACTGGTAGGAAATGAAATGCATGTTGTTTTGCTGTGCCTTTTTATTTTATAGCATCGTAGAGAGCCTTCAGTGCTGACTGAATCAAATGACAGCACTGATTGGATGATTTTATGTTGTTAAAATGTGCATTCATCCTGTAATTAAAGCTAACCATATTTTTTTTTTTCAATGTGTAGTTGCTTCTTTTTAACCTGATTGCTTGTGCAGAATGTGTGCAGAGATATTTTCTAGTAGGTTACATTTTGGTGCGAAACTGGGGTCGGCGCTTTTCACCCTCCTGTATTACTCCTCTAAGTTTTACCATGACCCGGAAGGAAAATAGGAGAATGTAATTGCCTTGTTTAAATGCACTGATTTGTCTGTGCTAATTTATTCAGGGTGACTTGTGACAGCTTAAATGAAAGATCAGACATTTTTCTTTATTGCCATTTGTTTTGTCCTCAATCTGCACATGCTATTGACTCCAGCCTTTCATGATTTGACCCCAAGTTCAAGGCTGTTTGAGTGTATTTCAGCTCGAAAATTCTGGTGACCGTTGTTGACAGTGGATACAGCAAATTTGAAATGCTCGATCCAGACCAATATTTTGCTGGGTAAGTGAGAAGTAATAGGTTGGTCCAGCATGCCACAAGACAGTCTAAGACAGATCTTAATTATGGTGCTTTGGCCATGGCATGTCACTGTAGATAGTAAAAGTGGTCTGAGGCTATATGTACTACATGTATTGGCTGTTAACAGCCTGGTTGTTTTAATGTTGCTTTGGAAGTATATGCTTTCTATTTATGTTTCACCATGGATACAAGTTGGCATTGTTATAGAGACTAATTTAAGGGGAGTGAAGCTAGGGCTGCTTGAGTTGAATGGATTGTTTTGGTGGCCTTGATTTGAATGTAGCCTCGATTTGTGGTCTAACAGTGACAGAGCCCACATGGTAATGGTTACCTGGCTTCTAAATTTATTTGAAACCGATGAATTGACAACAAATTTGGATAAAGTCACCACTGACACAATTTGGGTGTCTAAGTGAAAAGTCATATGATATGAGTATTGTGAGTATGAAATGCGTTCTCTGCTGATGGCACATTATGTCACAAAACCCTCTTATTTTAGAAAAACAGTGTTGCATATGATCCATTCTTTCTGTTACTCCTTTTTGCATATGAATAAACTTTTTCTCTCATGACTTTCAAACAGTTATTTAGTTTAGTCTCATGGCTGTTATGGTCTTTATGATTGAACATTTAATATGATCTTGACTCTATATTCAGCTTGGAAAATGACTGATGGTGACTGGGGAGGTGTATCTTTGCACATACAGCAGAATCACCCAATGTTGTGTTTCAACAAGTCAGTCTGATGTTGGCAGTGTGTACCCTCCTTTCACCTTGATATCCTCTACCACCTTGAACAAGTTGTGGTACTTGAACATGTAGGTACATACAGTACATTTAAGTGCCCCAGTCCAGTGAGAGGCTGTATCTCAAATTCCATAACTCTCTCAACCTCATCCATTAGATATTTCTGATGAATAATAATCAAATTTCGTTTCATGCTGTGGTCTCAAAGAGCTTTCATCTGTTTCAATTTCAATTTCTTGGCTTTAACAGGCGGTAGGGTTCTTTGGTCAGTGTTTCACATTGCTAGGCATATTCCAACCCCCTTACTTTATACTTTCTGGCAAAATTCATTATTCAGCCTTACATATGTCAGGACTTTAAAGCAGTTTAATGTGACCCTGGCCAATTTCTGGACTGAATTCTGTGCTTTTCAAACTTTGAACAATGTTTCTGATTCCACTTAGATCACCAGCCTACATCAAAGATGCTTACTCAAATAACTTTGGGGATAAATTAAAGATCAGACACTGGTGTTAGCCCTCTCAAAAATGGTTTATCAGACCTGGACAGTTGTTTGTTTTACAATATAAACAATGCAGGGTGTGTGTGTTGAAACAGTTTTAAACTATATCGATCACATCAGGTCATGAGTATCAAAACCATATTTTATTAATGTAGCAGACTCTGCTATGATTTTGATGATGTGAGCAGAGGAAGGCAAACAACTGACCATTAATGAACAGGAAGTTGCATAGTTACTAGTTTTGAGGTTTAAAGATTTTCTGACATTCGAAATATGATGTTGCGTGATATTATCCCATGACACTCTTTTTTTGTGACAAATGAATAAACTCCCATGGTATCTGTATGATTATAAAACATTCTTTATTAATGCAGAAATCCATTTACAAAACATTAATGAAATAGACATAAATTATCTCTTACAGGTGTAACAAATCTTTCTGTATCTTGTGCCTTATAGACATGTTGGACAGGGAAAAGTATTGAAGCTTCATCCAATTCTTTTAAAAAATTTAAGTGACATATTTTTTAAGTGACATGTTTGGTACACATATACAGGGCATGGGGTAGCTCACTGGTTAAAGTGTTCGCATCCCAGGTTTGATTCCCCACATGGATGAAGCCCATTTCTGGTGTCCCCTGCCGATATTGTTGGAATATTGCTAAATGCGGCATAAAACTAAATTCACTCTCTCACTCACATGTACACATACAGTACATAAATTACAGATTTGCCTAGTGCAGATGTCTCCATTTTTTTCAACATTAAGACCTTTCTGTACGTTTAAGGGCAGCTGCAGAAGGGTGATAAGTACCCATAGAAACATCACATAGGAAGACAAGGCATTATTGACTTAAGTAGTGATATTTCATGCAACATGTAAGTATCCATTTCATATTTATAATAACCTGAAGATTACAGCACAAAAAATGAAAAGGAAACACCAGCTGTTTATCACCTATATAATTTTCTTTTTGCAAAACTGCTTTGGAGACTACCACATGTGAAATATTATTTAGTTGCCATGTCATTTTACTCTGTTCAATGTTAGAGCATGTAAAACACATTTTGGACCAAAGGCCATTTTGGATGTATTTGACTAGGTGTGGTGAAAGTCTGACAATATAATTATGTTCACAGCTGAGTTGGCTAGATCACTGACTTTGTATGTTGGCGATTTGGTGGAGAGAGTCGGTTCAAACCCTGGATGGGACTGAACCCCAAACATGTCTAGAATGTGTATTTTACTGAGAAAGTGTAATCTTGCATATAACATCGTTTAATGTGTACAACTTTATAAATGTGATATGTTTTGACAGTTATTATGTATATTGAAGAAAGGATTTAATGGATTTGAAGGACTTGGATAATATACGTTACTTTTCCATTTTAAAAGGCTTTATAATTATTATGATTACCATTAATACATCACTGAGATGTACTACCACTTCAACAAGTAATCCATCCTAACAGTACGTACAGAACCTAGCCTTTGTTTGTTAGTTTGAAGATAATTGTTAGTCATGTTAGTGTCTCATAATGTGAGATAAAATAGAAACAAACAACTGAACCTAATGATGGATTTTGATGCATTTCAGGCACAACCTTCAAGAAATAGAAGCATTGGTGTTATTTCAAATGACATCACGACTGCCTTAGATTAAAACTTGAAGGAGGTGACATTCCCCAGAAAAGTAAGATTGTCAAGTTTTATCATTCTTTGGGGATAAATTAAAGATCAGACACTGGTGTTAGCCCCCTCTCAAAAATGGTTTATCAGACCTGGACAGTTGTTTGTTTACAATATAAACAATGCAGGAGTGTGTGTTGAAACAGTTTTAAACTATATCGATCACATCAGGTCATGATTATCAAAACCATATTTTATTAATGTAGCAGACTCTGCTATGATTTGATGATGTGAGCAGAGGAAGGCAAACAACTGACCATTAATGAACAGGAAGTTGCATAGTTACTAGTTTTGAGGTTTAAAGATTTTCTGACATTCGAAATATGATGTTGCGTGATATTATCCCATGACACTCTTTTTGTGACAAATGAATAAACTCCCATGGTATCTGTATGATTATAAAACATTCTTTATTAATGCAGAAATCCATTTACAAAACATTAATGAAATAGACATAAATTATCTCTTACAGGTGTAACAAATCTTTCTGTATCTTGTGCCTTATAGACATGTTGGACAGGGAAAAGTATTGAAGCTTCATCCAATTCTTTTAAAAAAAATTTAAGTGACATATTTTTTAGAAAGTGACATGTTTGGTACACATATACAGGGCATGGGGTAGCTCACTGGTTAAAGTGTTCGCATCCCAGGTTTGATTCCCCACATGGATGAAGCCCATTTCTGGTGTCCCCTGCCGTGATATTGTTGGAATATTGCTAAATGCGGCATAAAACTAAATTCACTCTCTCACTCCACATGTACACATACAGTACATAAATTACAGATTTGCCTAGTGCAGATGTCTCCATTTTTTTCAACATTAAGACCTTTCTGTACGTTTTAAGGGCAGCTGCAGAGGGTGATAAGTACCCATAGAAACATCACATAGGAAGACAAGGCATTATTGACTTAAGTAGTGATATTTCATGCAACATGTAAGTATCCATTTCATATTTATAATAACCTGAAGATTACAGCACAAAAATGAAAAGGAAACACCAACTGTGTTTATCACCTATATAATTTTCTTTTTGCAAACTGCTTTGGAGACTACCACATGTGAAATATTATTTAGTTGCCATGTCATTTTACTCTGTTCAATGTTAGAGCATGTAAAACACATTTTGGACCAAAGGCCATTTGGATGTATTTGACTAGGTGTGGGGAAAGTCTGACAATATAATTATGTTCACAGCTGAGTTGGCTAGATCACTGACTTTGTATGTTGGCGATTTGGTGGAGAGAGTCGGTTCAAACCCTGGATGGGACTGAACCCCAAACATGTCTAGAATGTGTATTTTACTGAGAAAGTGTAATCTTGCATATAACATCGTTTAATGTGTACAACTTTTATAAATGTGATATGTTTTGACAGTTATTATGTATATTGAAGAAAGGATTTAATGGATTTGAAGGACTTGGATAATATACGTTACTTTTCCATTTTAAAAGGCTTTATAATTATTATGATTACCATTAATACATCACTGAGATGTACTACCACTTCAACAAGTAATCCATCCTAACAGTACGTACAGAACCTAGCCTTTGTTTGTTAGTTTGAAGATAATTGTTAGTCATGTTAGTGTCTCATAATGTGAGGATAAAATAGAAACAAACAACTGAACCTAATGATGGATTTTGATGCATTTCAGGCACAACCTTCAAGAAATAGAAGCATTGGTGTTATTTCAAATGACATCACGACTGCCTTAGATTAAAACTTGAAGGAGGTGACATTCCCCAGAGAAGTAAGATTGTCAAGTTTTATCATTTGTGTAAGAAAATGAACAAGTTTGATTACCTTGAGAAGTAAATCCAAAACCCTGTCCATGGAAAATACAGACTGGAAATTATTGATGGGGACAGGGAAAATAGTGATTCCCTCAGTCTGGACTTCCACAATGTCATATCCACAAATTTACACAGCGTTTGTTGGGTTCAGGATCAAAATTTGCAATTGTTATCCAAAATTTCCTAATGAAACAGAATTTGAAACCTGATATAGAAAACACCAGTGGGGCAACATACCATTGACTTTGTGGATCAACTACATAGAATCTACCTTGAGTATGGATGGGGAAATCCAAAGAATACCACAATGTGACCAAGGCTCTGAGTTTAAGTGAGCAGTCAACCAATTAGTAGTGGTGGTCTGATTAATTGAAATAATCGAAGATTGGTCGCAGTGACTAAATGACCAAGCAATCGAAAATGTTTTCTCATAATCGAACACACAAGCAGTTTTGGAACACTTGTTTGCATTAACAATATTTTTTCACAAGGTTGGTTTGTCTGAGTCATTTTATTTACATTTCATAAGCACTACAAGCTTGTTCCAAGTCATGATTGAATTTATCTTAAAGACTCCTGGAAATTTATGTTCCTCACATACTAGCCATCATCCTTTAAATATGTGGAAGTATGAAAATGCATTTTGTGCAATTTACCCCAAAACCCAAAGAACTACATGGGTTTTGTAAATTATTTTGTGCATTAACAAAGGTAACAGGAACATTTGATAAATGATCCTAACCAATTATTTTCGATGATTGATCAGTTGTAATGGACCAATGATCAATTTTAAGCCAATTCCCAACACTACCACTAATTATGCATTGAAATGAGAACAATGATTGTCATAAGTCTTAACTCACCATCCCTAATATCAGGGAAGAGTAGGAGATAAATAACAAATAATATATATGAGATCTGAAATATGATATGTAATCTATAAAGGTCATGTCCATGGTTA